TATTTGGCTCAGGTTCATCATTGCTGTGCAATCCAGTGCAATCCAATGTTTTCTTTCTGGGCTGCATTCACTGTTTTGAGTGCTCTGTGACCCTAAGAAAGTGAATTTTTCCACACATTCTATCTTTTCAATGTCAATGTCTATTTTGATTTTTTTTTTCATTCTTTGCAGTGGTCGTGAGCTTGATCTTTTTGATATTCAGAAAGAGACCAAAAATCTCACTTCTTCGATTTTCTTGATCAGAGATTCCAGGCCTTCTTTGGTTTCTGAGAGAAGAGTTATATTGTCAATATCTTGAAACTTGTTAATGCTTCTTCCTCCAATCTTTACCCCAATTTTTGATTCTTCAAACTCTAGCTTCCTTATGATCATTTTGATATACAGATTGAATAAGAAAGGGAAGATAATGCTGTTCATATTTTATGATTCAGAAATCAGGTATTTTCCTTCAAGGTTACTTCTTTTTTTTTCTTTTTTTAATTTTTTTTATTAATTTTCAATAAACAAACATACACAAACAAAACACAAAACCTGAAAACATAAAACTTCTTTTTGGAAAGCGGCTTCCCGGGTTACATCTTTTTGTACAGACATAAATTCGAATTCATGCTCACTTTATATACCATTTCATATCTTATTTACCATTCTACATTTTCTATATAGCTTCTCCCCTCTTTTCACTCTCTTAATTCTATTTTATTTCATCTCAATTTAAATCATTATGCTTATATCTTTTGTCTGTTCTGTTTCAATTATCTATTATCTTTTCTCATTAACACAAAATTTTTCCTGTAATCACTGATTGAAGTATGACGCCTTTATATCTTTCCCCTAAGTTTAACACTTAAAATAATATATAATTTTCATTCTGATTCTGCTTAGTACATTCTAAAACTACGTACTGTATTTTAAAATAAGAAAGAATAATAAATTTATAATATAATTAAAACAATCCGTAGCAAATTAAACTCAATCGTTAAGTCTTTATTTTATCCCATTTTATAATCATATAATATTCCAGTTTTCTAACATTATTTCAAATATAAATACAACAATACAATCTTATGTACTTTTGCAGAATCTATTTTTTAATTATATTTTTACCCATTATCTCTGAATAAATCCTGTTTCTTTACATCTTGTTTCAAACCTTTGTAACTTTTCTTCCCTTTTTCCCTTCCTTTCTTCTCCAATCTAGCCTTTTTACCCCCTTGTCTCTTGATCTCCACCCTCTTAATCTCCACCTTCTTCTTTATTCCTCTTTTCTGTTGCTTTCTGACATTGTATTGATTTTTCACCTTATTTTTCCCCTTTTTTGGTTGTTGTTTTTAAGTCTTAAATTCTCCATTCTCTTTCCTTTCTTTCCCTTTTCTTCCCCAGCTAAAGTTGCTTGTTCATTAAAGATGGCTTCTTCTTCATCCCAATCTTCTTGTAGTTTCTGATAGGTAGAAATCGCCATTTCTAAGAAATGGAAAACAGATCCAGAAGAGCCCTTCCCTTCTTGTTTCTCTTCTTTTAGCTTTTTAAATTCCATTTTCAGTTCATCAACAAGTAATGCCATTGTGGAAAAAAAAAATTTAAACAACCCAAATGTTTTTAGTCTTTCAAATTATAATTTCCAAAAGTCCCAAAGTCACCAAGCAATCCAAATACACACAGACTGTTTCATTTAGCACTTTCTTCTTTTTATACTTTTTCTTCCTGGGGTTACAGTTCAGTTGCAAAGTTCCAATTAAAATGTATCTTTTAGAAGTCTTGTTACAATTTAGCTCTAGTCTTATAAATTCCAAGCAGCCTCCTACAGCAAGGTCTTAATATTAATTCTTTTCCTCTCCCTTCCCACTTATAGCAAAGTAAGTTTTTTTTCCCCAAATGTTCAGAAATCTTTATTGTCCCCTTGGATTTAATTTTCAAATTTAATTACCTGCTGATGCCAAAGCAGGTTTTTCCAATTTCTTATTCATCTGCTATCACTGTAAGGAAGGAGAGTGAGAAAAAAAAAACTTTCCCTTTTTACTTCCATTCGCCGCTTTTTCCAAGTCTTCTTTGGGAGCAATGTATCTTTAATGAAATTTAAATTCCAGGATATTTAAAAGTTACTTGTTATCCCGGTGAGCCAAAAACTTTCACTTCTCAGCTTCCTCCTGCACATTCTTATCCAGATGAAAGCTTCTTTGTGGCAGCCATTGCTGACCGCCGCTCCACTGCTTTTGGAGAAGGGAGTTAAGCCAGCTGAGAAGGGGGGTTGAGATTCCGCCGGACCCCCTGCTGGATCTCCCCTGTCTTCAGTTACCTCTACAGGGTAACTATATCCCCCAAATCCAGCTGGATCAGGAGCACTCCAGCGGTGAGCGCAGCAGAAACCGTGCACGATCGCGGATTCCTGCCGCCACTGAAGCCTTACAAACCGGAAGTCCCCAAGAAGTTACTTCTATACCTTATCCATTGTTTAACTAGTAATATATTGGATTAATGGGGATAACTTTGAGTGAAAAGAGGAACATCTACTACCATAACCACAGTCAGATAAATGAAACCTGAGTTTGGACAAGCACTATAACCTGAGAAAATGGTTCAGATAAGATCCTCCCTAGTTCCCACAAAAATAAAGGGAGAGGGGTGGAAGCACATTCAGACTTGGAAGGTTCTGTTAATATAACTTAAAATAAAAGTGATATTGATCTATATGGCTTTGTTTTCCTAATCAGGTCTACCTTGAAGGGCTACAAATTGGGTGTTTGCTTACCTTTTGTTTACTTTTTCTTAGCTTATCTGAACAGAAAAAATAGAGAAAACAAATATATTTCTATTTACTTAGAAATAAAGAAATTGAATGGAATTATGAAGTCATATAATTAAATGCAAGACCACCAAATTGTCTCAGTGAAATAGATGGCTGCTGGTAACCCAAAAGAACAAAGTAAACACATTCAGTATTTTAATTATATTATGACAAACATAATTTTCTATTCGCTAATTTTGTGCTTTTCCCATACTGAGTTTTCCCTCTTACTAGAAAAAGTATTAATAGGACTTCCAGTGGCAAGGCAAGGATGAACAGAGGTGCAGAAGCCCGTCTGTGGTTTCAGTTAATCTCTTTTTGCAGTTGGCACAATCCTTTGAGGGTGCACGAGTCCCGGAGAGATTCGTGCCGGTGTGGGTGAGACTCGGGTTGCAGTGTCGGGAAGGCAACCCCCCCTGCAGCAAAGAGGAGCCCTCCAGAGCCCAACGAGCAAAAAACAGCCCCCTATCAATGGTGGCTCCGAAGTCCGGACTGCCACCGATGTAAAGAAGCGAGTGAGTGACAGTTTGTGAGATCATTGGGAAAGAGTGTGGCAGAGAAAATTAGCGGTGGAGAGGAGGATTGGAATGCCATAGACTTTTATAAGGCTGTTACAAGTGTCTGTCCGGAGCCCTAAAAGAAAGTGGCCAAAAAGCGGATGCGAGGCAAGTGAAAGTGAAAGGGCTTGGCAGACAGAAGAGAGAGAGAGGACAATAACGAGTAAAAAGGGAAGTTTACGAAGTTGGGAGACTAGCGGCTGGAAGATGCCTGGAAGTTGTGGAGGATTTGGACTATCTCATTTGATTTTTATTCTGAAAGACTTCATTAAAGTGGAGACGGGAAGATCGGAGCTGACGGAACAGAGACAGTGTGGCGCCACAGGCGATACTTAGAAACCCTGAAGCTATCATAACAATATAACTGATATAAACCACTTAACAGCCCTTTAGGGAGCATACTGATCTAATTGAGAAGGTGGTTCCATCTGAAGAAAATCAGGAAAATTGAACTTCGGAACGCTAAGACAAAAAGTAAAAGTGGAAGCTGCTGAATGTGTGGAGATACTGTGTAATTGCAGTATTCAGCATTTTTTACCTCCCCACTTCCAGTGCGTTTGGAGTGAAAGCTCTCAAACTTAGAGACAGAAAGCTAAAAACTGACTTCAAAATTCCTTTCCCCCACTTTTTTACTCCCTTTTTTCTGTATACATTTGCTCAATATTTTTTTCTTCTTTTTCCCTCACCATCTGGCGCTATGATGAACTATCTCTCCTTCTTTATTCTCTCTTTATAATGATTATAAATATGCATACTGGGGAAAGGAAAATTGATTGATGTAACTGATTGTTAAATAATTGAATTAATTGATTTATTGATTTATTAATAATAGTGATAGTTATACTTTGATTAGTTATACAGGGAAAATAGTAAGAACATTCAGTATTATTTCATTAATAAGTATAGGATTTTATGTATTAATATTATAATTTATTGTGTGATCACAATTAATCCACTTGGGGACGAATGTAATACTGTTTGTGTTTAAGAATATTTAAAATAAGGTTAGATAAATACACATATTTATTTATAATATTTAAATATTATAAATATTTAAAAGAAAAAGTATTAATTTATGTCAGAAGGTTATGTCACTAACTTTATTATGATCGTTTAATGCAGCTCAGAAGGTATCATATTAAGGAATAAAATGGTTTGATGGTTTGGGTATAATGTGTTGTTTGATCTCAGAAAATTGTAATCTATTTAATAAGCCATGTTTAATCAAACCAAGAAGTTTAAATTCCATCACAGTTTATTCTAAAAGCTGGAACAAAATATTTCTTGCTGCAGCCATTGGGGGGGCGGGGAGAGAGAGAGAGAGAGACACACACCCCACACCCTTAAGAATATGAATATAATTATAGTTCCAAAATATAAGTAGTTATATTAAATAATAAGATGTATCCGGGTGAATAGCTATTCCAATTACAATGTATTCTTTAATTTTATTTTACCTCCAAGGGACTGCCATAAACATTGCTAATAATCTCGTGATTTCACAGAGGTGGGTAGAAATGCCTATTTGCCTTTTGGAAGGAAGAAGGGGGGAACTTTAAAGCCATAATCCAAGAATTTCCCTCCTCTCTTCATTCTTCCCTACCAAGGTTCTACTTTCTTACATTCTTCATACGGATTCCTTATTTTTGCCTCTGTTTTAGGCGCTAAACCTGCCCCTGAGATATGCTTCCAGAGAGTCAATTCTGCAGGAGATCCATATGGAAACTGTGGCAAGGATTCCAAAAGTACTTTTGCCAAATGTGAACCCAGGTACAAGCTGTGCATCTGTCCGAAACAAAAATAAGTAAAGCAGTGCTAATAGAGATGCCGATCTCTATTATTCCTACATTATTCCTCTCTTTTCAGAGATTCAAAGTGTGGAAAAATTCAATGTCAAGGGGGAGCGAGTCGACCTGTAATTGGCACCAATGCTGTCTCAATAGAAACAAACATCCCTCTACAAGGAGGAGGCAAAATTCTGTGCCGAGGAACACATGTTTACTTGGGGGATGATATGCCTGATCCGGGCCTTGTCTTGGCTGGAACGAAATGTGAAGATGAAAAAGTAAGGCTTAGAAATCCTTTCCCTCAATCCCTTTGATATATAAGGTCTTTCATATGTACATGTATTACATCTAGTCCTTTTTTTCAGTCTTACTTTCTGTGCTTTGAATTAATAGCCTGGCAAACCTAACATAAAGGATTATGCAAATAGCTCTTCCAATGTTAAGTATACTTAAGGGTTTATGGATGATGCATGGAATCAGTTTACTGTTTAGCCAGAAGGAGTAGCGTTAAATTGGAACATAAAAAAATTGAAACAAGTGTATGTAGTATGAACAAAAATACTTATTTTTTTATGTTGCACCAGTTTCTGGTAAATTATATATTAGAAAAAAGGGGAGAATGAGCAAGTGTTTGGTCTATACAAGTTACTCTTGCAATGAAGCAATATGCAAAGTGTTTATATTCAAAGATTGATGTGAAGCTTCTTGTTGTGCGAGGTGATATCAAAGTAGTGGTAATATGGTTTCCAATACTTCCTGTGTCCAGCAGAATCAGCTAAAATTGATGACAGAGCTTAATTCAAGCATGGACACATTGACACGTACATGAATAATGTGTGTGGAATAATAAATGTTGAACACATAAAGTTGTAATATCTGTCACCATGCACATGGATAAACTTTCCTTCCTGATTGATTTATTTCATAAAACATGTTTGGATGAAGCCTAAAATTAAAAAGTCTCTCAAATTCATCCCTTAGGATTTATATAACAGGGCAGACAATCAGTGAAACACAGGCAGCTCAAACACTATCTTTGTTCCCCTCTTCGCAGGAGTACAACATTAAAAACCCAGCAACAAATTAATTATTTTTTGTGATGAGATTTTTTTTCATTTAATATACTTGCCAGCCACAAAACTAGTTGCCTATTCTTGATCTCTCATCTTCCTTGCTTTATATACCTTTAATTAGTCAGCAACACTGGTATCAATTATCTGAAAATCAAACAGGACTAAGATTTTTTTTGTTGTTGTTGGCGATGTTCTTCCCTCAGCCTGACATTTTTCTGAACATGAGTTGAAGTAGTTTGACTGTATGGTACTGAAAATCCCGAGGCTTGTTATCCTAAACAAGTTAAATATTAATATAAAATTTGCCTTGTCAAGAGCATCCCAAAGGTGCTTTTTCAAGAGGCAACTGGACTTTCTGTTTTTTTCTTTGAAGATTTTTTGCTTCTTATCCAAGAAGCTTCTTTAGCTCTGAGTGAAGAAGACAGAGAAGTCCACATTTTGGACAGAGAGAACCGCTGGTTTGAAAGAAAGGTCAAAGAGACCATCTACGTCAAAATTGAACAGTCCTATCTCAACAAAGGAGAAAGGATATGACATCATTATCCCCAGTCTACAACACAGTCCTTTCAACAGTTCCAAGAAGACTGCACATGCATTTGCACTACTCAGGTGGCTCTAACAACACTTATTAAGAGCTGCCGATTTTAAAAATTTAACTTTAGCTTTTGCATTTTTTTATTCTACTCCATTCTACTTTATTTTTATTTCAATTTATTTCCATTCTTGTTCTGCTGGAGACCTGTATATTTACTATTTTTCTGGAGATCTATATTTTTACCTTTTTTGCCATGGAGGGGAAAAGGAAGAGGCAACATTCACATTCTGTTTCTCAAATTTCACTCAAATCTATAAAACTGCTCCAAGTTGACAGTTATCTAAAAAAGCAAACATTTCTTGCCCTAAGCAACCAGGCCCCTCCACTCTTGCCCCTAGTCTCTGTAATAGATATGACCTCCTGGGATGGAAAATACAGGTGGAGATTGAGAGCTCCAGACTTTTATATCTTTCTGCTTCAACGCCTGAAGAAGTTTCCCCCTCACAGAACAAAGCCATTTGTCCACCAACTGCAAAGCTTATACAACAAAGTGATAAGGATTTTAAAAATGTTACTGACTGTATAACTTGACAATTATTATTGACAGCATAAATAGTATTGTCAATTTTGAGCTTCTAACTACAATTAACAAGAAAGTGAACACTGTAAAAGACACTCTCATTAAATTTAAACATAGTCATACAAATACTACTGCTAAGTCAGTCAAGCTCATCTAGAAACAACTGTGTCTTAAAACACATAATAGTGGTGGAAAGTTGATCCTATTTTGGAACCTAAAAAGAGAGTGAGCATAAATTAATAAATATAAATCTACATCCAGAGGAGCATGGAAGGCAAGTAGAACTCTCTCAGGAAGTATTAGACAACATAACTATTACTTACAGCCAAATCAAATCACTCTACAAATTCAAAATAACAGAGTAAATAGAGGAAAATGGAGGCCCAGAAGTGCAACCATTATCTCCCTCCGTTAGCTTCTACACTGTGAAAGGCAGCTGATTGATTTGCAGAAAGTTGAATGGCTTCTATCCAGGAGAGTAAACAAATCCTTCTAACCTTTAAACATCCTACCTGAGCCAGAATGTTGTCAAAAGGAAATCAATTTTGGGCAATTTTGAAATCTTCCCAGTGCATGTGTTTCACACAGAGGGAGTTAGCTCATTAATAACTCATCTTGGCAATAAGAGTGCTTTTACATTAAAATTTAATTGTAACAACATAACAATAGGTAACTTCAAAGACTTTCTATCATCACTGTCCTTGAGAAGAGACAGCCTGAGCAAACAATCTGTACCTTCCACAGAAGTCAATGTTCTGAAGAGCCCTTAGAGATAAACTTGACTGACTTTTTCAATATCTTGTGAGATACTGAACAAGTGAGTATTATGAAAAGGCTAGATGATCTGAAGAAATTATTGCAATAAGACACAAAAGTGCTAAGACTTTCATAGGCCTGCTCACCTCAAGAAAACAGTACTTATTTTTTTTTAATAAAACAATTTATTAGTTTTAACAATTAAAAACAGCCAACAATACTTATTTGAGAAACCACCTGCTGGTTACTTCCTATTTTAATATGGCAATATTGCAGAAAAGAACATCAAAAAGTCCTCAGGAACAGTTTCTACCATAGTCTGCCTGCTTCTTGTTAAAATAGTATACCACATGGAAATGTAAGAAATGGAAATAAAATGGAACCCGGTAGACAAGAGGAAACAGGATACAACAGAAATCTTCATGAATTACAAGCAGTGGGTGATTGCAGGGCAAGATCAAGTGAAAAGGAAGAAATCCTTAGCTCAACACTTCTGCAATAAAAAATCAAGCCCCAAAACATCAGTTAGCATTTTCCCAATCACCCTCCCCACCAATATTAAGCATAAGAGTTTTATCCAGTTACTGACATGGAATAAAGCTGGCTGAAGAACAGTAACAAATGGGACCTGATGGTGTTCTTCTTTGAATTTGACTTTACAGCATCCCAAAAGTGCTATGCAGATTGTATCAATCAGGTTATAACTATTTCAAATACATTAAAATTTGTTCCAGGCTGGGCTGAAATTCTCCATGTAGTGGAGCTGGTAGTCTCCATTGGCATGGACAAGATAATGAACTAATGATGTGATTTAACTCAATTTCCTATGTTCCTGTTTTAGAATATAAAATCTTTTTTTTCCTGAAAAATCATGTGAAATGATCAAATTCATTTAAAAGGGAGTATTCCAAAATATATACAGGTCTTTGAAACTAGTAGCATGTTTTTTCTATGGAATGCAGCAAGAGGAACAATGCATAAATATATGAAAAAATGGACTGGTGTATTATAAGATACATATTTTGGACGCAAAAAACAGTTGCATTATATAGCTTAGCTTTGCTATCTCCTGGAAACTTTCCTGCAGATGCCGATAAAAATGATAATCCAGCTGGGATCCATCAAGCTCTGTCGTTAACTCCCAAACAATTCATCTGTTTTTCCTTGGCCTTTTTGTGATTGTGTTCAGTTGGATTGTTCTTGATTTTCATCTTTACTTGTGCAATATTTTAATACTGTCTAGCTATACATGGTTATTGCTTGATTTATTGATTTTATTAATTTTTGCTCCTTTATTATTTATTAGATTGTATTGTATAAGCTTCATGGGGGAGGGCTTTAGTCCTTAGGTAACCTAGAAATGTCTTTAAAGCATAAAATAAATAACGAGTAACACACAGCCCAGACAATGTCCTCTGATTTATAAGAATTGAATTTTTTTAGACTGATCTTCCAAATAGGCTTGAGTCCTTCTGCCTTCTGCCTTTCGTTTTCAGATTTTAATTATGAGTTATGGTTTTCCTTCCTTGATTTGGGGGTGGGATTCTTTATGAAAACGGACTCCAGGATCTTAGCACTGTGTCAAAGAGATGCTCGTTTTCTGAAAGGAGAACGAAGAACACCTTGACTTAACGGTTGGAACTATGCTATTTAGCGGCTTTTGGATGACATTTTCATCTTCTTCATTAACTCTGTGCTTTAGCATATTCAAACCTGGGAAAGTTGCCAAAGCATAAAGCAGTTCCTGCAAAGCAAAGAAAAAACTTTTCACACCAAGAAGAATATATAAAACATCTTGCTCAGTATATCTATGCATAGCTTTTC